CTCCATCAATTAGGCTGGCGTATGTGTGTTTATATATATTGTTTCCAATTTAGGATATTGATTGCTGTATCTTCTTGATTGAATGCATGGGCTTTGATTGTGTCTCTGTTTTTAAGACTAGGCAACTCATTTTATTATCTCTTAATGAGGGTACAAAAAAACTTTAAAGCCTCAGAACTCTAAAACTTTGTTTTATAGTTCTGAGGCTGACTGGTTGTCAGGTTTCCCGAACTTTGTTGTAGCTCTAAGAGAGACTGATTCCATCAACAGTGGAAAAATGTCAAAGTACTAACAGTGCTATGTTATGCATAGATAGTGTTTCTGTTCGTAATTTCATTCTCGAGACCACATTTGGAACTTTATTATGGCTTAGGGTTTATAAATAGTATTGAGGCAATTGCTTGGACTATTAGATAGTGCATTGAGTACTACTTGTGCTTTGAATGAAGTTATTTACCAATTTAAACAATGACTAAAGTATCAAAAGCCATAAAACACAAAAAACCATCGTCACCACCAAGTTCTCTAAATATATTTAGAGGACGTAAATTTTCTTTTGTTGAGTCTTATCTTTTGCAAATTTCACCAGACCTATTTGCTCTATGTGAAATTAATTTGATCAGATCCCTATATCATTGTTCCTCCTACATATAACTTAAAGCTGTTTGGGACTCTTTCCGTGATTTCCTTCGTGATAATCCTTAGGTAGAAATGTGCTTTTCGCAAAACTTCTTCGATTAAGGCTCCCATGGAATCTTTTATTCCCTCTTGACAATTCCAGGTCTCGCTTTTTTCTGTGGTTTTCCTCACAATGTACTACTCTAATTTCTAATCCAAACTTAAGATCTTTTTATCAATCTCATCTGTTGATTCCACCAATCATATCCTAACTTTTTTATCAATTTCTTGACATTCTTATCGTTGATACATTGATAGCTTCTGGATCTGAATTGACATCCTGCTTAGAATCTTCTACAGCTTGTGGTCGGGGCAATATGCATGTTATAGGCTCGCGGGAGTGTTCTCCAAAGCTGCTGTTTATACTTTCAAAACTATTTAACGAGTACTTATTAGAGTCTCGTTTTTCAGCCTGCTGAAAAGCGGAGTCTGTTGTACCTATTTTTATAAATTCTGTAAAGCAAAATTACCCGTTAATTACGGTCCCAGAGTCTTCCTGCTATCATAAGCAAGATTTTTGGTCTTTGTTTAACAAATACTTAATCTTCTATTTTGAATCTAATAATTTTCTTTTTGTTGATCAATATGGATTTTGAACTTTTGTTCTACTGCTGACTTGTTAACGGCTATAACTGATTGGCTTTATTGTACATTAGACAGATGAGGTTGAGGCAATTGCTCTTGACATTTCTAAACCTTTTGGTAAAGCTTGGCATCATGGTCTTCCCATAAGCTCTCTTCTTACAGTATATCAGGTAAAATCTTTAAGATTATTGAGTCATTTCTTGCCAATCGTAGTATTACAGTTGTCTTTGATGAACAGCACTTTTCTTCATTTCTCGTAACTTTATAGATTTTTCATAGTTTTATCTTTGGTTTTATACTGATTCACTGATTGCTTGGAGGGGTCATTTGAGCTTGAAAAAGATCTTACTTCTGCTACAGCATGAGGCTCATAGTAGCTGCAGAACTGTTTTATGAAGTTGAAGAAAAAGATGCGTATTTTAAAAATATTTTTTACGACGGGTCTGCATGCCCGGCAGCCGGTTAGTAAAAACGTAAAACATACATGCCCGGCAGTTCCAGTACGCATGCGTTACTTTTTATTTGAAAAAATGCCGGGCAGTTATAAATGTCGGAAACTTCATGCCCGGCACCGAGTAAACTAATATATCTTCTTGAGTAAAAAGTGCCGGGTTTATAAAATATGTAAAACTACACACCAGGCAGTAACTTTTACCTTTATGTAAAAAGTGCCGGGTTTAAAAAATATGAAAAACTATAAACCAGGCAGTAAATTTTACCTTTATGTAAAAAGTGCCGGGTTTAAAGAATATGAAAAACTACACACCAGGCAGTAAATTTTACCTTTGCTTTTTCTTATGTAAAAAGTGCCGGGTTTATAAAATATGTAAAATTACACACCATGCAGTAACTTTTATCTTTGCTTTTTCTTATGAAAAAGTGCCGGGTTTATAAAATATGTAAAACTACACACCAGACAGTAACTTTTACTTTTATGTAAAAAGTGCTGGGTTTAAAGAATATAAAAAACTATAAACCAGGCAGTAACTTTTACCTTTATGTAAAAAGTACCAAGTTTATAAAAAATGAAAACTAAACACCAGGCAGTAACTTTTACCTTTTGGTAAAGCTTTTACAGGTAGTAACTTTTACATTTTTTAATTGGTCGTAACTTTGATCTTCTTTGTTATATAAAAAGTAAAAGGGTGGGTAATATTGTTAAGTATTAAATTATTCCCCATCAACATGTTGATTCTAATCTACAACTATTACAAAACCAATATTTTGTTTTAGGTATTTTTCGCAGCGTAGAGCATTTTAAATGACTCCACAACAAGCAGCAATCGCAACTAATACTTTCTTCTTCATCTTTCAATATGTTCCTACAAATCGAACAAATCCATTGTTACTTTTTTTCGCTAATAATTGCAGATTTGACAACTTTCCATGCTGCAGGTTTAAAGAACATTTCTACCCTCTCTATATCCAAAGATTTCTCATCACGAAGAAAATCTGGCAAAAAAACTGATTTTTTGATGTCTAACGAACAAATTAGTTTCCCCCCACTCAATGCTAATTCAACAGCTGGAACCTGTACTATGCGGGTTAAAATAAATCTGGCTTTATCTTTAGGTAATAGCTTAATGTATGGTATTGGTTTCAGATAGTTCTTTTTTTTAGGGACACCAATAACTGCTGTATTAGCCCCTTTCGGCCGGCCTTTGGTTTTCATTTTTGGCGGCATTAATACTTCTTTGAGATCTAACTTTGCGGGATTTTGAGGAACATCCTTTTTAGAAAAAAAAGGGGAAAGTCTCAATAGAATTAATATATTTATTTGTACTGATAGGGCTTGATTTGATCTTCTATGTGCCTGTTTTAGTGACGTGACAATCAAATTCGATCAAGTCAACGTTATCAACTTCTATAATATCATCATTTGTCACCAGCGTCACTTCTTCTCCTTTTTGCCATTGTCGTAATATAACCTCCAGTTGCGCTTGTCTTTTTTTTGAAAATTACCATACCACCCTCGCTTCCAACAGAAGCTAATAGCTGACAAGTTTTCAATAAGTTTCGATATTTTTGTGCTTGTGTTAAAGCTTTTACATCAACTTCCGAAACAATTTCAACACTTGAAGTTATATTGGTATCGTTTCTTGCTCGAAGAGATTGATTATAATATTCCTTAGTCCATCTTCGATTTACTAACTGTACATCAAACATAGGTAGCATCAAAAACTTGCGCAGTTGGAATAAATGGTAACATGGTAAATCCATTTTAGACATGAATCTGCAATTGCAAAACTCTTTTGACGCAATCAAAAACTTAGAATGTTTTATGTTATAGTTTCCAATTTCGTCACTTTTTTCAAAATTAAAAGATGAATCATTTTTAATTTTTTCAATTTGTGAAATAACAAAAGAAAAAGCATAAGGCGTTAAATGTTCACTGTATAAGATCATATCAGGATGACTTGGTATAGCTATATCGTGTCTTGTCAAAGACATAAGGTGGTGGTGATTTCTGTCATTCCTGATTGCGTCAAGAAATACAAAAAATTCTATAAAAAATTGCATCATACTCGTATGCTTTTACAAACCGATTTTAATTTGTTGAACATCGATTCCAGACGATTGTTAGTAGTTTCTCCTAGGTTAAAATATAGATCTTTATAAGCTGTGACCCATTGGTGTTTGATAGGATCCCAATTTTTAACAAAATACTCTGTCACTGCAGTTAGTTTTGTATTTAAAAGCATTTGTTTATTCTGCTCGTACACAATGCTTGATTTAGAATATGCAATTTTTTGAATTATTTCAAGGCAACGATTTCTATCGGCTGAAGTGATACCCATTTTCTTGTCTCACATAAATTTTTGGATGGGGTATCCCCCTCCCAAAAATTTATGTGAGACAAGCATATAAATTATTATACAATAGATTTATTAATATCAATTGATTACAAATTAGTAGTGACGACTGCAGAATTTTATGCAGTTAACCACTGGGTAAACTCACTTTACTGACGTCGTCAACTATTGTAGTTGTAGGACTGGAAATAAACAAAAAAGAACACGGTGAATACCCTTCTAACATTTTGTAGCATCACCGCTACTGTAAGTCAGGATGAAATTGTGATTTAGTCACTTTATATTTTTAGTTCACTTTTTACTTTTGAATTAGTCACTTTTTATCTCACTAATTATTAGTGTAATTGAGTACACGAGTTGCGTAAAGTGTAAAGTTAATTGTCAAATGTCAATACAAAACCAATTTTGTGTGGACATTGGAAAACATTAATTTTAGTTACTTTACATAAACAAATAAAATACAATTGAAAAAAAACTTTTACATTTTATAAAAAAACTTACTTTTGTTGAAAATAGTCTGTCATCTTACGCCTTTTTAGTATATTAAGTATATTTAGTAATATTCCATAGTATATTAAGATAGTAAATACAGGCGATTTTAAAACAAGGCGATTCAACACACAAATACTGGAACTTAGCTCATGTGCAAAACGGCAGCCAATTTGATTAAGCTTTAAAACGTTTTGATTGAAACCACCACAACGCATTCGTTCGAGTAAAAAAAATAATTGAAAGTCTGGTGGGGGTAATGCATTACCCACATTACCCCCTTTCTCCTGTATATGCGCCTGTATGTGTATATATATATATATATATATATATATATATATATATATATATATATATATATATATATATGTATAGATATATATATATATATATATATATATATATATATATATATATATATATATATATATATATATATATATATATATAACACACAACTCACATTTACTGAACATCCAGGTGGTTCATCAATCATAATAGTTGTCTTTATATCTAAATCATTAGAACTTTTAGATGATTTGCCAATATCTTCAAGGGATTTCTGAAAAAAATAATATATATATATATATATATATATATATATATATATATATATATATATATATATATATATGAATAAATATATATATGAATATATATATGTATATATATATATATATATATATATATATATATATATATATATATATATATATATATATATATATATATATATATATATATATATATATATATATATATATATATATATATATATATATATATATATATATATATATATATATATATATATATATATATATATATATATATATATATATATATATATATATATATATATATATACAGTGTTACCTAGCCCAATGGCGCCGAGTATAACGCGGAATTCCCAATGGGTTTAGAATTCCAAAAAACCAATAATTTTTTTTTTTTTATTTACTTTTTTGGGACAATTTCTTTAAAATAACCAATAATTTGAAGAAAAACAAAAAATATTTCCAATATCGCAAAAATGCGGTATAAAATGTATTCCTGCCTAACACCCTATATATATATATATATATATATATATATATATATATATATATATATATATATATACATACATATATATATATATATATATATATATATACATATATATATATATATATATATATCTATATATATATATATATATATATATATATATATATATATATATATATATATATATATATATATATATATATATATATATATATATATATATATATATATATATATATATATATACATAAATATATACACACACACCAGAGGTGTACCCTGGGGTTTTTTCCAAGTAGTGATTAAAATATATTTTATAAAATATATTGAATTGCTTCAATAAATTTGTCTTCAAAGCTCTTACATTTATTAATTGATTTTCAGAATATATGAAACTGAAAAATCTACATCTAAAAAAAAAATGAAAAAGATATAAACAATATTCTTATTTCGTTGTCAGCTAAATATTTCAATTATTTGATATTTTTTAAAACATTGAGAGTATTGGTGAACAGCCCTTGGATTTAGGGTCAGCATTTGGAAAAGCCGACCTAACCGTCAATATTAAAGTGTTTGTCGTTGGCAATTTTTTGCCGACCTTGATACTTTACGTTTCTACTTTTTATGATGAAACTTTTGTGAATAAATGTAATTGCTGACCTGATGCCAACCTAAAACAGTTTAAGATCGGCAATTTTTTGCAGACTTTAGTTTTTTTCTTTCTGAGTGTTGAGCGTTTGAATAATAAAAAATAACTTATTCCTACAACTTGTTGCTACAAATATTAAATGAAAAGTAAATATTGATTGAATACCAGTCTTACCAGTTCTACAATATGCTTCTGGTGAGCTACAGAAACGTTTTTTATCTCTAAAAAGAAAAGAAAAATTATTAATTATATAGTAAAAGTAATAATGGTAAATAAGTTTAAATAAAAAATGAAAAAAAAAAAAAAAAAAAAAAATTAAAAAATAAATTTTGTATTACCTTTCAGAAATGTAAGCACTCAGAGCTACTTCAGCCTAAATCAAGAATAGGCAAAAATATCATTACGAATTGTATTATTAAAATTTTTAATAACAAAATATAAAATAACATTATTTAATTATATAAGTAAATAATATTTAATTATATAAATAAATAATATTTAGTTATATAAATAAATAATATTTAGTTATATAAATAAATAACATTTAATTATATAAATAAATAATATTTAATTATATAAATAATTATTCAATAAAATAAAAAATTGAAAAACGAAGATTTAAATATTCAGATTTTAGATTGCCTTTATTCTTTACACATTACTAGCGTTAGCAAATAAAAATACAATTGATTCAGGCATTAAAACTTTAAATACATAGTCACTATCCTAAAAAGATCATTACATATATGACAAAATTTAATAATGGAAAATGGAGTATTATTCAAACAATGAGTTTAAAATGACTTTGTTTAGAAATGAATAATTGAATAATATAACAGATTATGATTACCTTCAACTTGTTAAAAGCTAAAACAAAAGCATTAAAAAGATCATGTGATTGATCTTCTGACAATAGACTAAGGAGATCTCCGTTAGAAAGATTTTCTAAATAAATAAATAAAAATGCAAAAACATTTCAAATAATCAGAAAATAAAAAAATAAAAATAATAAAACAAATGAATTAATAGAGTGTTAAGTCCTATATTTTTATATAATACAAACTTTTATCTTCTCCACCAGCAATAAACCAGTTAAGTCTGTAACTGTATAACCGAACATAAAATACAAAAATATTATTTAAGGATTTAGCATTAGTAAGTTGTTATTAATTTTGACTAAAAGTCGATTAGTTGAAGTTAAAACTATTTGATTTTAAGTATTAAAAATTAAATACTTGAATAAAAATAAAATATTGCAAAAGATTTACATTAAAATATTACTCATCATTTTGTTTCCAAACTGATGTTTGAACAACTCACAATAAATAAACAAATGTTGAAATATATTTTTAAGAACACAGTATTTAAAGAACTCTGTAGACTTTAAAGTTTGTTTTAGATATAGACAATAAACGTTTTATGATAAAAGGATAAACAATAACGCTTATTTACTCAACTAGATTATTTGCTTACTAGTAAAGAAAGAAAATTTATAATAGAAGAGATAATTAAATAGTACCCTGAGCTGGCAAAAATGATATTTGAATCTGCAATCCAACTGCTACGGCAATTGATAAATCACTATAATAGAAGCGCGCTATCCCACTGAGCTATCCGAGCTTAAGTAAGATACTTACAAACTTAAGTAAGATACTTACTTGACCAGAATAAATAGGTTTTAGCAATTGAGAAGATGCTATTTCCATATTTCTTTTCTTTGTAAACAAATTCAATCCTATAAATATTTAATTATATCCTTATTTTTATTAGAGTTATTAAAAAAAAATTACCACCATAAAATAAAGTAGACTGTATTGTAGATCTTCCACTCACATCTAGACTTAATATTTAAAAACAATTTCAAACAACTTAGAAGATTGAATTGAAATCTAATACCTATGAACCTATCAAAATTGTGATCCAAAAATAAAAATAAAAATTTTTTTTGGATCCCAAAATTGTGATCCAAAAATAAAAAATCTCTTATTGAGTCATCATTTAATAAAATCTTTACTTTTTGATTTACTTTAACTGCCAATTTTATGGGTTCTTGCTTGAGACTTATTTAGACTATATTTATTGAACATAATTTTTTTACCAATATATTTACACGTCAAAGTGTATCAATAATTATATACAAATACGAAGAAAAATTGTATACCTGTTGTAACAAACGTATTCAAGTCTTCAATATCACTTGAACTACTTTGAAAGAAAAAAAAGACATTTCAAATTATAAGACAAATTTTAATCTTGGTTTGTTTTAAATAGAAAACAGAAAAAGTAAAAAAAATTAATAAAAAATTTTATACTTAAACATTGACTACAAATAATGGATCCATCATCAACTGAAAATTTGTTGCACTAAGTACATGGTATTTTAGAAGTGTAATCGGTCTAAAAAAAATTATTAGATTGTTATCCTTTTGTAAATTAGTATATATTATATAGTACATATATAATATATATGTACTATATAATATGGACTAATTTAAACATATATATATATATATATATATATATATATATATATATATATATATATATATATATATATATATATATATATATAGTAAAGGAATTTGTTCAGAGAAAAATTTTTTTTGAGGGAGGGGGGGAGAAGAAAGATGCTTAAATTTTGTTTTCCTGAAATTTAATGTCTTAATCAAGACATTAAACTGATCTTTGGACAAGTGATATAAATGAAATTCATTTTAAAGAAATGTTGGAGTTTTTTTTTTAATCTAAAACAAGTTTAATTGAAAAATATTTTGTAGCAGATAACTAATTTTTATCACATAAACCTAATTTACGTATTATATATATAAATATATATAAACATATATATATATATATATATATATATATATATATATATATATATATATATATATATATATATATATATATATATATATATATATATATATATATATATATATATATATATATATATATATGTTTGTAGAAATAAGAATACGCATACCTAACTTAAGTACTTAACAAAATAAACAACATCCCGGTTTTTTGGTGCTAAACAAGCTAAAAAACTTTTTAAAAAATATCTTGCTGTTTGTCGGTATACAAACATTGAGCTTACATGATTAAGCTTGTGAGATTAAAAATCTCAATAGGCTATTCTCTCAAGCTTAATCAGATAAAATGAGCTATAGTCAATTACAACAATTACTGTTTACAATACAATTATAATAATTAGCTACATTTTGACTAGCAACATGAATAACTGTTTTGTTTGTGTGTTTACAAAAAAGAAAGACGCCCATCCAATTTTTTTTTGGGGGGAAGAGATTAAAAAACTGTAAATCAATTTCTGAGAAAACACTAGTTTTCCCAAACCAGTTTTTGTCATAATATATGAACAAAACAAGTTGAATAAAGCTTTTTGGTTATTTAGTAAAAAGGTCATTGTGTAAGATTTTGTATTTATGTCTGGTGTTAATTATGACATAATTTATGTCAGGAGATACTGTAATAAATCTTTAACTTTACATTACTAGTGTTTTAGAACTACCAAAACTACTTAGAATGATTAGGCATTTTCATATATATATGTTTACTTGCAGTATAAAGAATATATATACTGCTAGTATTCATAAATCTACTAGAGTATAATTATTTTATTGACTATATAATATAGTCAATAAAACATATATAATGTACTATATTAGAAGTATGTACTATATTATCAGTATATCATATAATAATACTTTACTATATTAGCAGTATAATATACTATAAGTTATATAGTATATTTTAGTCAATAAAAATAAAACAAAATAACAATAACAAACTATTCCTCTTACCAATAGTTCTTTGTAAGTTTCCATGAAAGTAAATACGAGGCAAATACAAATTTATATGTACAATTTATATATATCTTATATTAGGTTATTATATATTTTATATTTTACAAAAATGTAAATATAAGTTACCACGAGGGAAAAAATTTAAAATAAGAATCTAGCGATATTACGCGCATGCGTACTTAAACTGCCGGGCATGTAGGTTTTACGTTTTTACTACCCGGCTGCCGGGCATGCAGACACTTTGTATTTTTTAGTTATAAGTAAGAACGCATTAAAAAATAAAAATAAAAAAAAACACAAAGCATTAAAACAAACTGAAATATTATAGCTAAAGTACTGTATAATTTAAATATGAATTTTATTCTAAGAAAGTTAATATCTTATTATCTTTTGCCTGTAACCAATATTAAAAAAATCCGGCTTAAGTAGGTATAACGGTGAATGCCATAAAAATTTTTGTTAACTGAAAAAATATATATATATTCGCGTTTTTTGAAATTTGTCTGCTAACTTGTCTAAAAGGTCTACATTTGCTAACTGACTGGTTTAAAAGGGTCAAATTTGCCAACTAAATGAACGAAAAATCCATTGATGATGGGAGGGAGTCAAACGATCCTTCGCGCCGGCCTTGAATGGTATACTTATTGTTTTAATATTTGTTATTTTATGTGCCCCGAGAAGTCTTAATGGGCTTATTGCAGAGCACCGCGGATCGGAGCGTGTAACTAAGAAATTCACGCTTCCTACCTTACCAATAGTCCAAAATAAGCCATGAGCTGGATTTAAAAACTATATACTCAAATTATTAAATTTTTTTCTAACGTAATTTTAACAAATGGGTACGAGATTATTGGGGTTTAGTGAATACATATTGTCATTTCAAGTGTGAACAAAATTTTCTAAAATCAGCATACGCAGTTTTTGTTACACAACCTTAAGGAAGGATTTAAGTAGCGTGTTTCCCATTGTTATTTAACAAAATAAATGAACTACTTTATAAATTTTTACTTATATTTGAATCTACTATGTAAATTATAGAAAAATCAAAAGTAAAATACAGACAAATTATAATCTAAATGAAACATATTAAAAACCTGATATGCTGAATAAACTGTAAACTTAAATTGTTTAAAAAGATTTAATCAAAAATTTTATCATAAAAACATGGATAAAAAGTTTTAAAAACATCCTTTATAAGATATATTAAACAATTCAAACATATAACAACTTAAAAAGTTTTAAATTTTAATTTTTTTGTCAATGTATTCAAACCATGACCTTTTAGAAATACAGGCCTTGACAACGCGCCAAATTTTTTATTAACTGGAGGCTGAGCGAAGCGCTAATAAGTAAAGTGAAGCGGACAAGGAGAGCAAAAAACTATAAAAATAACATTATATTTCTTATATTTAATTTCTAGCTTTCTTAAAAAAAAATCTACAACAAAGTTAATAAATTCTAATAAACTTCTTATGTAATCTAAAAATCTTTTATTATTGTTAGACTTTTTAGAAATATATTAGGTAAAGTGCAGCAATGTCGGTCATAAAAACCAAATTGAAACTTTTTTGATACAGATAAGAATTGCTTCATCAAAAATGTTTGTCAAAATTCATCTGATAACTGCTCAAACAAAACGAAACAAAATATGTACCATTGAACAATATTGTCCAAGGAAATAACAAGACCTCCTCTATTCAAGTCATCAATGTAGGTACCACATTTTTTATAATAAAATTGTGTATCGGTATAATCATAGCCATTTTTTCTTTGAACAAACCACCAATATGTATATAACTGAAAATAATGATTCTGCTTGAACTTTATCCTCGAGTTCTGGCAAGTTAACTAAAATTTCGCACTCCTGTTCATTTAAACTTCGAAAACAGTTTTTACAGAAATGACCATTGGTACAATCATCAATAGTATCTATTTCTAACTGTAAAAAAATTTTTGCATGCTTAATTCTAACTTTTTCTATGACATATGGAGCAGTAATAAAATAGGTTCCTCGAGAACCCTGGCAAAGCTTGCAAAACCTTTTCTCTAATGTTTCAGTTGTGAACCACCCCAGGATAACATAATCATTTCCAAAATCCAAACGATATCTTACAATGTTGACTAATCCCCTAAACACATGAGAAATACATTCATAGGTATCTTTTGTAAGCTGCTTAATACGTTTTGCGTCTGATTTTTCCAATTTTTTTAACCATATCTGCCACATCTAATAAGAATAGCAGGCTATTGCCTGTGTGTGTTCTTATAACTGCACGGTACTCATAACGAATATCTGCTCCAACACCTTTCACATTACAAATTTTCCAAAACTTCACAAATATAGAATTTAAATAAATTTGATGGTGCCAATAACTTCATCTTTTTCAATAGATAGATGATTTTTACGTGCAGCAACCGTTTCATCACAGAAAACTCGTAAACAAGTCTTAACTTTCTGTCGCTCAATCGGTGTTGAAGGGATGGGAATTTCATTTAATTTGCTAAGTTTTAAAAGATTGACAGACTCCAACTCATAAGATTTACAAAATCACTCCATTTTGCTACATGTTTGTTATCTTCAACCTCAAAAACTAGTTCTCCGCCTTTTTCAGTTAACCAATTATTAGGAACATACTTCATGATATGAACATAATTAAACAACAAAAATGTGTTTTGCCAAGGTTTTTCCTCGATTTTATTCATCATTTTAAAAAACTTTTGATTTACTCTATTTCCATCATTAATTGTTGACAACAATTTTGCATTGGGTCGATTGTTAATTATTTGAATAATTGGTTTGCATTGTTTTAAAAGAAAATCAGAATTTATGTGACTAATTGGAATCATTTTTACTGAAAACTCTGGTCCACCAAATAAACATTTTACCATTATAGCCAACATTGTATTGGCAAGGACACCGGGTTGATCAGTTGAATTTCAAAATAATACACCTCCATGTTAATGTGAATTTAATATAAACTTCATCAATCAGCAATATACATTTATGTTGTGTGTTTTCAATACTCATAACATTTTTCAAAAATTCCAGACTATCTTGTGATCTGTGGTAGTTTATTCCCCCCCCCCCCCCCGCTGATTTATTCCATCTCACTACGTAAAACTCAAAACAAGAACGCGTTTTCAAGTTATAGACGTTAGAAATGACCGAACCTAATTAAAAAATAGTTTTGTTTTTTACGCAGTGGGATGAATTAAATCGGGCGGATAGAATAATCTACTTTAGTAGTAAGTTATTCCAACCCAATGTGTAAAACATCAAATTGAAATTAATTTTATAACTTTTTTTTTGTTTCCATCTTTATTTAGTAAAGTTAATGGTCTTTTAAAACTCGTTTACAAATTTTTAATTCCCATTAATCAAATAAATGTGATTAATTTGCTATGGAATGGAATAAATCAGGTGGGTGAAATAACCTACAACACTACCTATCTTCTATAGTGAATTGTAAAATTTCAGATTAATGATACTGGTATTGAATAATAGTAAAAATATAATTAGTATAATTATTAATCCAACATATCATAAGTCTATTTTAAAGATATTGATACATGTTTACTGCAAAAAGTAATTAAAAAAACTTGTTTCTTGTGTTATGAAAAAAGTGTTTTTCTTCTTTTTTTGGAGCCACGAAATTGTGTACATGGTAAGTACCATACTCTGCTTTAGTCTTTTCTTTTTTTTTTTATCAAAGTCACTGTTTGATTTATTTAACTAGAACTTGTTACATTATTTGAATTTAATAAATAATCAATATAACCCAAAGTGACAAAGTTAACTATGGATTTGGAATAATGGTAAGAATCTTAATCCAAAATATTGCATTATTATGGTGGGTATTTCATAGTGACAATAAGTTCTTTAAATGAATTTTACTATTGAATAATTGAGCTTTATATAACTTGAAAAACTTTATTTGATGGTGCTTTTTTATGCATGTGTAAAAATAATTATAAAATTTATGAGTTAACATAATAAATTTTTAAAAGGCTTTAAATAGGTTTATTTTTTAAGTTTCTTGTTATTAGTATAATACGCCTCATTAGTTCCAACATATCATTTTACCTTAAGTGTAACATAAAATATTATTGCCATGACAAATACATGAAAAATATTAATGGTGTTACTTACTTTTAGTGCCTAAACTGTTGGCTAATGATTTAATGAAATTGGCTAAAAGAATCAATGCTAGTTTATGTAGATCAAAAGAAATAAGATAAAATTTAGTATAACATTATTGTATCTTTA